CCCCAAAACCCCAAAACCCCAAAACCCCAAAACCCCTTGGGTTGCATCATTTATTGAATTTATAGTTAATTTTATATAATTTTTATTGATTAATATAACTCAAATATGGACCGTAAGCTGTCAATAATAGTTATAGGCATCAGGCAGATGATAACACAGGCTAAAAAAGGTGGAAAACATGTAAATTAAGTATTAAAATAAAGATTTGGTTCACCACTTGAATGATCGTCCAACTAGGAGCATTTTTTGTCCTCAGCGAGAAATACCTTTTCAGCATAATTGGAGTTAAAGGACCATCCATGGAGCCTGTTCTTGGGGCTAGAGATAACATTGGTAAGGAACTTTAAGCAAATTTTTTTTTATTTATAAAGATTGATTTAAGGAATATTTATAGTCTTTGTTAACCTCTTTAAATGGAAAATCTTGGGACAACTCAAAAGAAATGATGTGATTGTTGCTGGTAAGCAAAAATATATAAAAATTAGTCAACCCATTCAAGCCAGGATACCAAATAGTCAAAAGAGTGTAAGCCTCTAATTACATACATAGACTGTACATGTCAGGAGAGACAGCCAAGTTCAAGAAGAATGATGGAGAATATGAATACGTCAAGATCCCTCCTAATCATATCTGGGTAGAAGGAGATAACAAGAAAAACTCCAGAGACTCCAGAAACTTCGGACCACTGAGTCTAAACCTCGTCGAAGGGATTGCTACACGTAGGGTGTGGCCTAGACATTCAATTCTCTAATAAGCCGACTTATCCCTAACATATTCATTTGCTTATTTGTTTCTAAAAGTTGGATTTTCCGTCCAAATCTGCCCTCAAAATCTCCTTCGGTCCATTCAGAACTGGATTCCAAGAGTTTGTAAGGGAAATTTCACAGTTTTGGCACTAACAAGACAGCCATTTTTAGGTAAATTTTAGGAAGAGAAGTAACCGAGAAAAGAGCTGAGTGAGAATTTTAGGGTGCGATTTTGAGATAAAGAAGATTTGGGGTTTTGGGGTTTTGGGGTTTTGGGGTTTTGGGG